AGCCCTTGATGGAACCTCCTCTCACAGATATACTGCTTGGCAGCCAGCCTTCTGTGGATAATACAGACCCAGGCAACGCTCAGTAGTACAAGTGACCTTCGAGTGGAGCTGCCATATTATTGATAGCATAATAACAGCATATAACAAACTCATAAATGCCAGAGGTCCATAGTAATTTTGTGGAGTCATTTTACTAGGGTCTGCCCTGCTGAAGAAAAAAAAACAGTATAGACCAGCATGATTTCCATGGTGGTTAATGCCGGTTTGGTGCAGGTTAATTACCCTCCCCCCAAATGTCCCCCCTGGACTTCAGTACCAGTCTAGGTGTTTAAGTATCAGGCCATTGGCTAACTAATGCTCAGCAGAGGTGACCTTTCCTGTAAATACACGCTTCCCTTGAGCTAGCGAGCCTGATAATAAATCGGATGTCTCCACAGGCCCGTAAGGGCTGGAACTGCTCTTGGACATACTCTGGATCATGACTGACCTCTGCCGACAATACAATGGTATTAATAAAATCTGCTAACTATACAAATGTGTAATCATGATTAACAGAGTACTAATATTATTACTGCTACATTACTCCCAGACTTTAGCTATTTATATTTTTCAGAAAGTATTACGGTAAAAGCATCATGTTGGGCGTGTATGAAGGACTGATCTGCTGCTTGTTGGTTACCTATCCAAGTCTTGGCATTTTTGGGACTTTCCTTATACAACCTGCTACTCAGCTACTGTTGTGCATTTTGCGCCAGATTGGTGCAGCACATTAAAAGGTTCAGATCCTACAGCTGACACAAGTGACGCACGGAGAAGCCCATGTTAGTCCCAGGCAGCATTAGTTTTTTTGTGAAACAAAGTTAATTTGGAAAATATAGAAAAAAACTAAACTATGCAGAGTGGTCTGGATTTGAAGCGCTAAGTAGCGTTTTAACAGAGTTCTACCTAGTGGCTTAATATAACATTGCTGCTAAAGGCATTAATTAAATATTTCTGCCAGAATGAGCAAAGATGAGGCAGGACCCAAACCAGATGCTCAGCTCTGATTGGTTGCCCCACACAACTCTGCTTATTATAGTTCAATGCAAATTATTCTCTTACCAGGGGTAACATTTTTAAACATTTATCTTCTCCGTGTTGTGGGGAAATTAACTGACTATGTAGATAATGAATTAGATAAGTAGTTAAGATTTTAATTTAACCCAGAGGGGAAATTAAAGATTAAAAAATTACATCTCAGAATAAAAATCAAAATTATCATTAACCATCAGGATTATGCGCAAATTTTAGTCATTCTAGGAAATATGTGAAAGTATTCCAACCATATCAAAACTTCAAACTACACTGTATAAGCATTCTTTTCCAGAAAAAAAATCCATGGAACAAACATATGAACTGTTTATAAAATATTTTATTTGTTTAAATGTAGGCTAATTGAAATGTATCAGATTTACAGCATCTGTAGTCTCCTGCTCTTATGAAATAGAGATACAAACCCAGTAACACTTTTAGGATCCAATATAAATTAAAATAAAAATTCTTACATGTGAGCAAATATTGTTGACAATAGTAGGCATCTATATATTTACTGCAATACATTACGGTATGGACATGCTATTGAATAACTGGTTTAATATGGACAGTATTACATGACCTCTTTGTCAATACACAAAGCATCATAACAAAATAAAGCACCAGGACAGTCTGTTTCTGTACAGTTTATGAACTGTTTTATAAATATGCTTATAGGTAATTGTCATGTTCTTTGCCATGAGTGATTTATTGACTATAAAAGAGGCAGGCGTTCCTGATTTAAAGGGCAAGCAAGCAAGGTGTCAGAAACTAGAACAGTCGAACCAAAGGAAAAGAAAACTATATTCAAGTCAAACTGACCCTTAAAAAAGGGAGGGATTTTAAGGGTCATTCCTTCTTTGGAAATGTGTGTTTTCACCCAGAAACCTACCTACAAGAGCTACATCAGCAAGGATAGGGCTGGGGAGTGGCGGGTGGTCTGAACGAGAATTATAAAAGCATTATCAAAGCAGCAGTGCTGAACAAACGTAACATCTATTCTTTCGCTTGCAGCAAAGGTTTAACCTTTTGATTCTCACTGTCAGAAACTTGTTTCTGTCCTTCACGTTCTGTCCACTTGGTTTCATTTGCTGCCCCGTGTCTGTTCATTCGTCTGTCTAAATGCTTATGCTTAAGCTGACATCGTTCTATAGTGAATATGTATGACCTCTGGTTTTTTTTTTGTTTTTTTTTTTTGGTATTGTATATATCAATGGGGTTTTCAAGTGAAAAAGGCAACAGAATCCAGAGCAATTGCACTAAAAAAAATGCTTTACAAAAATCTCAGCCACCGAATCCTTAAAAAGGCACACATCTTGACAAACTTTCGGGAACAAATTAATTGAATCAGAAACAGCCGGGCGGTGATTTACAGAGCCGACCTGTGCAGACACTCCTCTGTTTGACCCTGGTCAGATGCAATGCAGATGAAGATGAGCCTAATTGGACATTACTGCATGCACCTACAGCCCTCAGGGTTATGGTTTTGGCCTCCAGAACCTTGCATATATGCTCATCAGTCTCTGTAAATATAAGCTCAGCACTCTGTGGTCCTGTATGCAGTCACACAGACCGGTGTCACCCACCACCCACACAAACCCAACATGCACAATGAAAGACGAAACAGTGCTGGAGATCGACCAATAAGACCAATTAAATTTTACAAAAAAAAATTAAAAAAATAAATTAAAAAAAGGACAAATTATGCAACAAAATTCTCTCGCTCGGTACATATTAGAAAGTTTGAAAGTTATACAGCAAACAATATAAGCGCATCTAATTTTTCACAAATAACTTTTTTTTTTTTTTTTTAAAAAAAGAAAACCTTTACATAGTTAAGACAAACAATAAACTACATTATCAAAAAGGCAAATAGCAGGTATATTGCAACGCTCTCTGCGGGAAACCTCCATTCATCCATGTTAGGTGGGTCTCTCACCCTGGGTTGTCTGGCAGGGTGACGCCACAAGGGGGCTGGTCTGGGGGCACACGGACACAAACACGCACGGCTCCACATTTCCCAGTGTCCTAAGACACCTGCTGCGGACGCATGCATCTCTGGAACAGGGAGAGCAATTCTGAGGGTAGGAGGAGCATTGGTTGGCAGGAAGGTGGGGGCTTATATAACCATGTGAACCTTCAATCAAGTCTAATGCAAAAAAAAAAAAAAAAGTATTGGGAAAAAAAAAAACAAATTGGAAGGAAGAAAATTGTCTTCAAAACTGAATTATCTGCAAGCTTTAGAGAGAAGCCAACCATGTAAAAATGCTGTCTTCAGGTATGGGGCCCTGTGACGCCTCCCTGCCCCCATGCACCTCCCATTCTGTGCCTTTCAGTCAGCACTGGTTTCCCTGAAGCGGTACTGGTCCAGACCAGCTAACCTACCCAAGCATCCCTTCGGGGTCATGAACTGCTTTCACCCCCACATCCGCCTAAACACACGCCCAGATTAATTATTTGGCTGCTTGTGCACAAGCATTTTCAGAAGGATAACGACAACAAAACTGGATTCAAGTATTTTATCGTCAACAGAGTTAAGCTACTGTAAACAAATGAAAGGAGAGGAAAAATGCAAGGAGAGAGGAGAGACCCGACCACTCTTGATTAGTCCCCCCACACTTTTTTCCCCCTCCTCCATGACTACAGTTCACTAACTTTCAACGTTTAACCCCAGAGGGAGCAGTTGCATAATTATAAGGGAGACCAGGGCTGACTGACAGCGATTGTGACGCTCTCGTCCTTCATTAAAGTGCTAAGAGATGCCTGTTATTGCAGCCCAGAATCAAGAGGACAAGTGCAGCGTACAGCAACAACCCCCCCAATAGCCTAGCCTAGCCTGCCCCCCCCAGGACTGGACAAAGCCTGCATTTGCCTGGCAAAGTCCGGCACGGTTACAGGGTTTACGCATAACTAACACCTCCAGTTAAGGTCACGCCCAGCTCAATGCAAAACAATTAAGCAATTAACCTCTGGCAAAATTCTTAGGGGAGATAACAAAATGTAGCAGAGGGAATTTACGGGAATCTAGGGAAGTCTAGATTTAACCTGGACACATAGCAGTATTTCTTGATTGAGGTATTTTATATACGTGTATAAACTCAATAAAAACAAGTGACCAACTACAGGTCACCGGTGCTAATTCTACACTAGGCATCCTAAGAGGGCTCACCTGACCCCCACCGGCTGCTGTACGCTGCCCACCCCCCCTCCCCGCGGCATGCGCCTCAACCTCACGGCTGTCTGCAAAGACAAAGCTTCATCTGCAGTTTGTGGATTGGACGCTCCTCTCCACCTCCATCACACAAGCCCCACCCTTTACAGGGGGGGTCCCTCCCTCCACCTCTGCAAGCCGTAGCTTCTCAGTATTTTCATATCAAAAAATAGTGCAATTTTTCTTCAACATTTATATAAATAACTAAAATCGTGCTTTTAAGTCTTTTTCCGTTTCCATATCAATATATGTATGTGTATATGCATATACATACATACATACATACATACATACATACATACATATATATATATATATATACACATACACACACACACACACACGCATATACATACATATATACACACCCAAACACATACATACATACATATGTACATAGATAGTTATGTATAATAATGTTAAACAAGTTGGCACCCCACAAAATTTCACTTTCAGACAAAACAGGAACAAAATCATCATTATAATCTATTCTCTTACAAAAATACCCATGCCCTTTACAGTCATCTTTTTATGGTACATATTGCAGATTACTTTTGTGAAATAAACAGTCTTTCTGTGTTTTTTTTTTTTAGCTTTAACTTTTGTGCAAACATTTCATGAAAATGTGAAGGGAAATCGATCTTCCACCTCAAGAGCCCACAGAGCTGGAGAGAGCCAGACACTCATTTCGGGGCCCACGAGGAATTGGGGTGGGGGGGGGGGGGGGGGGGGGGGGTGCTTTCAAACAAAAACAAACAAACATATGAATGACACAGGTCAGAATGGGAGAGTGGCTGAGAGCTTATTGACCACCCTGTGAATTCCCCCAATCCTGGGGGGTTGGGAGAAACTGGCCAGCCCACAGACATAGCACCCCTGGGGGGGGAGGGGATGCATGCAAAGCGTTAAAAGAAAACGGAGGAAGACTTGTTTACTTTAAAGACATCAGCATCTCAAATAAAGGGTAAAAGCAACTATATATACTGATAGCGTGTGGAAACCCTAATGAAAAGGTATAGATGAAAAAGAAAAAACAATGGCAACATGGGGGGGGGAAAGGCTGTGAGCACAAAGATACCAGGTAAGGGGTGTATATTTATATAAAGACCAGGCTGAGATTGGGGGGTGCAGTCATTGTGCAATGAAGCAGCCCGCCCGCCCTCAGACTATCTCATAGTGCTCAGGGTCCACGGTCGCAGTCACACTCACACCTGCCACGGGGTGTGTCCACGGTCACACTCACACCTGCCGCGGATGCGGTCACACCTGCTGCGGCCACGGTCGCGGTCACACTCACACCTGCTGCGGGGTGTGTCCACGGTGACGGTCACACTCACACCTGCCGCGGTCACGGTCACACCTGCTGCGGCTGCTTCTTTTCCTTGCTGCGGGAGTTACTACTCTCCAGGCCGCCCAGGTGCGAGTGCTGCAGGACCCCGTGCATGAGCGTGGGGGCGGGGGGGTGCGGCACCCCAGCCGGCCTCTGCCGGGACAGCGCGGGGTGGTAATAGTGCCCGACGACCTCGCTGTAGGTGGGGGGCGCGCCCCGCTCGCGCGCCTCCCCGGGACAGTCTCGGGCCGAGGCGGCGCTGACGCCGGCGTGGAGGCTGGGGGGGCAGAGCGGGGTGTCGGCCAGGTGGCTGTCGAATACGGTGCGGTTAGGGGGGGCCCGCACTGACTCTCTGTTCAGCTCCAGCTGCTGCTCGGGGTCCCGCAGCTGCAGGGTACAGGGCCCCTGGTAAGGGGGGGGCTCCTCCCCATCTGACAGAGAGATGGTGGGGGGCAAGTCGATGATGGAGTGCGGCAAGTAGGGGTAGGTGGGCTGGAACCGGGCCAGACGCTCTCTCTGCAGGTAGGAGGGAACTCGATCCGGGGGCCGGGGGCCGTAGACCTGCGGCTGAAAACAGAAGCAGGAGCGAATGCAAATTATTCATCATTATCGAGCAGCCAATGAGAGGCTGTGCACAGCAACAGAAGCACCAATAAGAGCAGAGACAGAATGCTGTCTCTTACTGAACAGTAATTACACTCAATACAAGATGGCTGAGGCAGCCACATTATTGTACGCGTTTCCATTTTTGTAAATGTTGGCAGCAGGTAAAAACAAAATTCACAAACCACCTCACCTCACTGACTCCACTAGAGGACCCGGGTCCATCTGACGGCCACAGACTCCCATCCTGTGGGAGGGGGGGGGGGGGATATGGCAAAAACATAAGTAAGGAAGATGTAGTCAGGTAGATTAGCTAAAGCCTTGCAATAAAATGATAGACGGGGATGCAGTACATAATTACACCACTAGATGGTACAAGGTGAGAAAAAGCTGGAAGGAAAAATAAAACTCAATTCTCTTGCTTAAGGAATACTTAGTATTTAGGATTATGCTTCATGATTAAATATATGGGATATAAAGCACGATGAAATGTTTTCACAATTACATCAGTGTGTTCAGGTCTGTTTTATGTGGTGGTTTGTCAGAGTGAAATACTCCCGGATTCTGGACCTTTGGGTATTTCCTGTATTTTCCTAACAAATGAAACACTGCTACTGTACCCCGATAGTTAAAAATGCCTGGGTGAAGTAAGGAAACACCCCCCTTCCCTTGTAATATTGTCTAGCTTAGCTTCACCACATTACTCAGCAGATTCCTGCCAACCCATCTACCCCGCCGTCCCCCGTCCCTGGGGACTTACAGAGGCCAGTGGAAGGTGGCGTCGGCGAGCTTGACTGTGTCTGGAGATGAAGGAGCGGGCCGACAGCCGGTAGTGATTGAGCAGACAGGTGATCACCACCACCATCACCATCATCACCACCACGATGACTAAGATCTGCACAAATTCCAGCTGGGCTACAGGGAGAGAAAGTGGCACCAGTTAGCGGGGGGGGGGGGGGGGCACTTTCACAAGCCAGACTCGTCTCATCGCAATCCAAGAACAATACTGTTTAACGACTCGGCGACAAACGTACATTATCATCCGGCCGCCAATATCTCAGGTATAAAAGGACTTCGGACTGGATTGCAAACCAGACATAGCAAGAGAGTAGCAGGCCAAACGCGTCATGTTGGGAGACGGCACGTGCAATTTTAGGTGCAGAGGCTTACATATCCTAACTCAACTTGATGTTAACCCATGTGAAAAGAAGTTAGAAGGAAGGGGCGTCTTATAAGAGAAACAGCTACCCTGCCCCAAGAAACTAAACCAGAAGATTCAGGAGTATCTACATCAGAAGGGAAGTTTTGCATTTTTGTTTTCACCCAGACTGGTTGCAGAAATCAAGCCATGGAAACATACAGGGGTGCCAAAGGTGAACAGCCTTGTTGAATATCACAGTCTGAACCTCCCACCCGCCAGAGATCCCAACCCTTCAAATCAGGATAAACTCCACACTCACAGAGCCCATATTTCATGGGCCTCTTACATGCAGCCCTGACTACGCCTGACCCAGTGCATGAACTAAATAGTGTAGACTCATGGGTCTGAAGGCCAGCCCAGTCTCACTTTCCTGCACACAGCTGTACGTTCCCCACTGATGAAAACAGGCTACCACAAGGGGGGGGAGGCAACGGTTGAGAAGAGCTCTTAATTTAGAGAAAGACTGGAGAGAACACAACAACCCTGATGACAGATGGGTCGGCAGTGGGAGGAATGAGAGGGGATCTAGGAAGGCCCGTGAATCTGGATGGATCCGCGCGGCTAGACCGATGGTGTCTGACTCGAATAACAGGAAATTCCTGAGGTTCGAGCACGAGGCCTGCCTTCGGCACAAGGCAACGGTGCTCTGGGATAGGCTCATCCACGAGAGCCTCGGAGTGTGGGGACAGGGTACGGCAGCCTCTTTCACAGGCTGAGAGAAGAACATGCACTAGGGGACACACGCTTCATCGGCTCTCTCGGTCAAATCTACAAAGGTGTAACGCAGATGTGTTAGTTCGGCTTGTTTCTGAGACGTTTTTGTCCAAAGCGACATGCAAGTGAAGATCAGAGAGAAGTCAGTCAGCCAGTACTTGGAGCAATTGCCTTGCTCAAGGGCCCCAACAATGACATCACTCCGCCAGCCATGGGATTCAAACCAGCAACCTTCTGATGAGAGTCCTAACCCACAGAGCAATACACCGCCCCAAATATCAAAGCAAGTGTATGCAGCAGAAGTAGTAAAAGGATTCTGGTATTGCCTGTTTTGTCTACACATGCACACACACACAGAATGCTGCAGAGCTCAGCTGGTATTGCTGTTATTTTGTCCTGAAATTCACCCACCCACCCCCTAAAATGAGGCGTGATTGGCCGATCCCCACCCCCTAAAATGAGGCGTGATTGGCCGATCCCCATCCCCTAAAATGAGGCGTGATTGGCCAATCCACCCAGATGGCAGTCTGGCAGAGCTGACTGAGCAATGATGGCAAAACCACACGCATGCCAAGTTAGAGGGGCCCGGAGGGGGGGAATAGGGGGGGACCACCAAACTGGGCCGAGTGCCTGCTGGCTCTCCCTGACGGGGCTGCTCATCTCCAGCTGGGAGACAGATCCCTAACTGGGCCTTCACAGCAAACACCACCCCTCCCCCAAACACCATCTCAGAGAGGTACCTCTTCTTAAGTCAGGTGAGAAAATTTGCCACTCTGAGCCAACTGTGAGACACGGAGCCCGAGGAGCGGGACAGACGCTGCCGTTGCCCAGAACACCGTTGCCCGGCCCACTTTGTACACGTAAACTGGCAGTCGCTTCACGCACAATTCTGAGGGCTAAGCTAAGCGCATGTTAATGCAGAACCACAAACCATTTTGTTTTAAAAAAATTAATAAATTGAATAAAAGCATTTTTATCCAGCGGCACATGGAGAAGAGCAACCGGCATGCGGCCAATGGAAGCAGCGGTACTTCGCACGTCGACCATTTCTGAGACTTTTTTTAGGAACATTGGAGTGGAATGTTATTCAGCGAAGGAGTGAAAAGGCATCCGTTCATCCATAAGCTTCTACTAGATGTCCTCCTGAAATGGCTTATCGCAGATAATGCTGCAGAGTGAAATATATGCTTACAAAAGTAAAAAAACAAAAAAGAAAACCAGACACAGTGCGCAGCCTTTTTATTAGGACCCTAACCCTGACTGAACTCGAGGTAAAGCCCCTTGCTTTCCAAAGCAAATATCAAGAAACATTATCGCGGCGAAAACACAGCGTGACGTTCGAGTATATCGGAGTAGGTAATGAAACATAAGCTAAATTGCCTACAACACAGTGGAACCGAAATAAAAGAAGATCTTCCTAACAGCTGGGACGCCATTACTTTGGCCCGGGAGGGGGGGGGGGGGGGGGGGTGGTTTGTGAATCCCCAGATGACACGGCCACTCGACAAATGCCAAATGGGAGATGGGGGGCAGGAGGTCAGTGTGGACTGCGGTCAAGGGGAAGGGGGAGGTCAGCCCTTGTCCCCGCTATCACCCCAACAACAGCCTGACGGTCACCTCAACTCAGGCAGACAGGCCGTAAGTGGGGGGTGGGTGGAGCTTGGGGATCCAGGCCTGGTGGGATGAGGAGAGGTGGGGGAGTGCGGCGAATACATCAGTCCATAAAAGGCGTCTGCTGCAGGGGGTTAGGGTGTCAGGTCAGAGGTTCGAACAATCTGCTCACCCATTTCCATGAGAATGGTGGCGGTGCAGAATGGGCTGGGGTATGGGCAGCAGCCATCGTGGGACGGGGGGTGAACTCGAGACAAACAACAAAGGACAAAGCTGCTCCTTTGAGGCTGGGAAACACGGTCAAAGCGCAGAGAGACGGACCCAGTGTGGGAACTGCAGGAACAGCGAGGCAGGGCTAAAAGGCCCTTTCAGGGTGGTGTTCATGGTGGTGGTGGGGGGGGGCATGCATCATATGATTCGATTTCCCACACAAAAATTCACACGGGGTGACACGATGGCCCCAGAGAGCAGACCCACAGATACGACCCTCCTCAAGGTCACATGACAATTCACCGTGACACCATCAAGACCAGACTTGATTTCCTGGATGGCTGCAGCAGAGTGAGTAATCTGTACCCATCCTGTCTTAAACAGCCAGATGTTTCACTCTTAAAAGCACAAAGGGATTTTTTTTTACCAAGCCCAATATCAATGCCACCAAACAGAAATACATATATACATGTAAACAGAAATAATTATGTAAGCAGCAAGTAGAGACTGGAGCGCCGTCGGGAACAGGGAGAGTGGGAATACAGCTGTGATGTCGTAAAGGGGACAATTTAGACAAACAAAACAACTCCGGGGGGGGAGGGGGGGCATTCATGGGTTTGCCCAACCTATCCTTTGGCAAGGCCAAGGACAACGCCAGTGTACCTGGGAGGGACACCTGATTATCCCGGCTGACACACTGTCAAGGGCAGGAAAAAAACAGCAGATGCCAATGGAGGGCTGGGCAAGGGATGCTGGGTAAATCTGAGCCATCCAGCCAATGAGAGAGGGATTAATAATAGAGCGAGGGGGTCACACACACACACACACACACACACACACACACGTTTGTATACATATTTTTGTGGGGACTCTACATTCATTTCTATGGGGAAAAACCCTAATCTCAACAATGACACCCGTAACCCCTACACAGCCCTAAGCTTAATCATAACAAACCAAATAAAATACAAGACTTATGACATTTTGACTTCAGTTTTTTGATTGCAGTCACAGATTTTCATAAAATTGCATTTCCTTTTATGGGGACTGAAAAAATGGTCCCCAAAGCATAAAAAAAAACAACAGGTTTTTATCACACTGTGGGGATAGACAGAGACAGACACACATGGAAGCCGACAGGCATACAGTGTTCCACAGCGCTCTGCTCAAATCCAGTGGGCCGACAGGAATCAGTCCAGCTAAAACATTCGGACTGTCGATAACATTCAAACCTCCTCTGACCCATAAGATACGTCTCAAGACTCTGACATTCCCAGTCACTGCTCAGTTTGGGGGGTTAAAAAAAACAAAAAAAAACACATTTGCGAGACATCCCAAAGGGGGGGGTGGGGGCGTGCCAGACACCCCCTCCCTCCTGATGCCTGACCAGACACAACTAACTGCTGAATGCGAGACACTGCCAGCAGTCACAAGAGGAAAACAGATTACAAGCAGGAACCGTATACAGACAGACACAGCAGTACTAAGGGGATATAGGACTATCTGACATGTAGGCATGCATGGGTGATCGACACTTATCCATTACTGAGCTGGAGATGTGGCCTCCGTTTGCCCGGCGTTTCATTTCTGTTCTTTGCTCTCGCCCCAGTTGACCGGACCATCATTACAAAAGCAGATCTCAGTCGAGATCCTGGGTACACCAGGCAGGTTAAACGAAGGTTACATTTTTAAAATAATTTTCTTTCATTTCTCCCATTTCCATTCATCAGGCTGCCGACAGACTGGCCTCCAGGCACGAGTCATCTGGTTTTGTCAGCCACTGCCCCCCCGCGTCCCCTACTCTCCTGCCCCCAGGCCGAATGTTCACTACATATTAAAACGGAGAATCACAGCTCCTGTCCTACTGGCGATTCGTTCTTGCTCCAATAATAAATGTAAAAAAATGGACATTTAATTCGACACACGTGATCCGTGTGATGTGCCGAACCATAGCCTTGCGGAGGAACAGACGACGAAGTCCCCGTGTCTGGCGTGTGTCCAAGATATCAGCGTGACGGCACCGCATGAGGAGACGGCCGTCGTGCCAAGAGATGCAGGGACACACGGATGCGTAGACACACACACACACACACACACACATAACAAAATCAGATTTTTCCCTTTCCCACTCTGATGGAAACTCCAAGCCATAAAAACACCCTCCACGTCCGACATTTGC